GATGAAGACCACCCGGGAACAAGAGACAGCCAGGTTGACCCTGCGCGCCACACCGCCTGGCGCCGCGCTCCGCCCCCGCCCCCCCCCCTGGCATGTTCCCGCACATGTGGAGTTGAGACCGAAGGACCGGAGGGCGAGGCGCGGGCAGGACACATCCACTGCCCCCCCCCCTCGTCTGCACCTGTACCACATCCAGGTCTCTCTCCCCCCCCCCCCCCCCCCTGTGTCTTTCTGACTCTCTCGCTCTTTTCCAGTGGGAGGGAGAATGGGGGGAGATTCCACGCCATGCGTTGGTAATAGTCACGTGTATTCGTCTTATCACATTATACGTTCTGGGAAATCTGGAGGCCGGGCTGCTCCGGCGCCGTGGTCTCCTCCGGGCCGAGGGTGATCCGCAGGAAGGAGGCGTACGCTGTGCGGTGTGTGTGTGTGTGTGTGTGTGTGTGGTTGGCCGCGGTGGGTTAGTTTTGGTGCGGGGTTTCGAGGGGCGATCAGGAAAGAGAGGACGGCACAGGGCTCGAAAAAATGGGCGACATATCAGGGGGCAGATTGAGAGCAGGAAAGGTCCCAGGGAGACACAGCATGCCGGAGCACGTACGCCGGCGACAGATCGGGCAGGAATTGGACGAAGAAATCCGCAGCTGCTCAGCACACAGGCCACACAGGCACAGATGCCGGCAAGGCAGCACCAACGTGTCGCGGGGATCCGTCAGACAGATGACACACTCGGAGGCCGAGAGGTAGCTCTCGGCGTCGAGGGGCGGGGGGGCTCCCGAGCCGGGCGGCGCCACGGCGGCCGGTGTCCCAAGAGCGGTGACCGGGGTTGGAACCACGGCGGCCGGCGGCGGCGACGGGGCCGCGCCGAAAATGTCGTAATACAGGAAGAGGAGCGAGTTGGCCTTTTTTTTCCCCCCCGCCGCCCGCCCGACGTCGCCCATGCGCACGGTTAGATCACACAAGGAGGGGGGGAGGGGAATTGGGCAGGCATGTCAGGATGTGATGTGGAGGGCACGAGAGGGAGGGGAGCCTATGGGGGTGAGGCAGGAGGAGCACAAAGCGGACAGGCGGGCCCACAAGAGGGGGGGGGGGGGGGCGCGACGTACAAGGAGCCACTGCGCGGCAACGCGTGAGGACACCTGTGCCGGGGTGGCTGGGAGGCCGGAGTCCGGGCAGCCGCCCAGCAGCCGGACCAGGGTGATCTGGCCGACTGGGGACTCGTGGCCCTGCTTGCTGGCGGTGGCGGCCGGCAGCCCGCGCGCCTCGAGCACGATGGCCAGCGTGGGCTTGATGGCCTCGATCTCAGGCGAGGAGTGTGCCGCGGCGGCCGGGGGCACATTGGTGGCGGAGTCAATCTCGGCTTCGGGATCGGCAGGTGCCGGTGCGTCGGGCTCCGCGGTTGCAGGCGTGCCGTCCGCCTCGCCGCCTGCCTCGTCGGCGGCTGTGCCGGGGGGAGCCGCGGCGGCTGGAGGCGGCACAGTGGCCACCGAGTCGAGGACGTCCTGGCTCAGGGGAACGGCCACGGTCTGGTGATAGCCGGCCTCCAGTGGGAGCTCAAAGAAGGCGGGCAGAGCCTTTTGGGACTCGGCAGAAATGACCCTGTGAGGGGGAGCCGATCGGCGGGGGCCAGATGAAGGTCAGACATCGCCAGGGGACTACTGGCCGCAGGCAGAAGCTGGCACATAGATATACGTGTGTGTGTGTGTGTGTGTGTGTGTGTGTGCTTGTGGATATGGCGCATCCGCAGGCCGGTGGATGGATCGTGGACGCACTGGGTGTTGCCACCGGTTGAGACACCGGGAAGCAGCCCCTCCGGGCAGAAGAACGCCTTCAGGACAAAGGCCGCCTCGGCGTGGATCATGAAGTGCAGCGCAGCCGGGGCAGCGGTATCTCCCGTGGCCGGGGACGAGGTCTTCAGGGAGACCGTCGACCGAAGCAGGTGAACCGGCATGCGAAGGGCCATCTTTGTGCCGATGCGCTGGGGGGGGGGCAAAGTGTCAGAGCGTGGGATGTGGTGCGGGAGATGGCCCGAGTGGGGGGCAGGAGCAGAGAGGACCAGATGGGGAGGGAGGGGGGGGGGGGGATATGCGAGGGCGTACCCTTGTGTCAGCCGCGTCGGCCGAGGAGGCAGACTGGGCGGCGGCCGTGTTAAGCGTGTCCGCGCCAAAGAGAATGTCCGAGTCAGGGAGCGGGTGCTCATACAGCGGCAGGTCGGTTGGTGCCACAGCCTCCGGTAGGGGGCCATAGTAGAGCTCGTTCAGGGAGCTCGCCTCATGGCGTGGGGGGGCGCCGAACTGGCCTTCGGCGTCCTGCTCGGCCTCCTGGTTGTACTAAGTTGGAGGGGGACCGAAGGAGTGGGGGAGGGCGGGGTGCGACGG